TAATAATTGAACTTTGGGGAATTTTGTTATTTATAATGATAATTGGGATTTTGACGAGAATTTTTTTTAAATTATTGAAAGATAATTGAATTTTATGCGAAGAATTTTATCACTCTTGAAAATAATTGAATTTCTGCAATTATTTGTAATTTTTCCAAAATTGCGGATTTTTTTTAGTGTTTTTAACAAAAATTTGAATTACAAATTTTTAAATTCTATTATTTTTAAAATTATACCCGTTAATTTTGGCCTTATTTTGAATTAAGAAAATTGTCAGTGAAAAAAAATTAGACTGGAAAAATGGACCGAATTGGTAATTATGTAATTTCGCAATTATAAGTATTAGGGAAGTCCAGTAAACATAAATATAATCTAAATTCTCATAATGGAGTATTGAATGAGGTGATATTTTGTCTATGACATCGTTATGAGGTACGCCAGGTATATAACTTTTATATGGAGTCTCTATGTAGTATATAGATTAACAAAGATACTCTGAGTACTTTATATGCAATTATGAAGTAAACTGTAATTTATGATACAGATATTTACTGAAAACTGGGCCTTCTATTGAAAACTTAAGAAGTTTATGAAATGATAATAAAGATTATATTTAGAACAAGAACAAGTTATTATGTACATTTAGTGCGTATATTCCACTTTTGGCGCCTACCAAAACTTTGTCTCTCGAATGCTCTCATTGTAATGCTCGCAGTTGGACGAATTTCACAAAAGAAGGTTTTATTACAATTTTACGTATATATTCAGTGGCAATAATTTCCTCATAATTATATACTTAATTTTTCACTTATTACGAAATTCTTTTCGGCACGCAGTCAATCCATAAGGTTTTACCCATTTTTATTGAAAATAGTTTAATTAAATCAAATTCAAAAATTTATTAATATCAATAAAAATTTAATTTTATTAGTTCAAAATATAAAATTTCATTTCAAATTCCTTTTATCATTTTCTTATAAAATATCACAGTAAATGCGTATGAAATTTTAATACAACAGTTATTATGTAATAGTCACAAATAATTTTATCTACTTTTAGAAATTATTATTATGTAAATTCTGAAACTCTTAAACTCATAAAATCTTATAAAATTATATTTATAAAATTATAAAATATATTATATTTAAACTCTAAAACTCTTAACGTTTATAGCTTATTTAATTCCTCGAATTTCTAAATTTTAAAACTTTTATCTTTTGGAACTCTTAAATTATAAATTTTTAAAAACTGAAACTCTTGACTTTTGAAAATTGCCAACAAGGAAATTCTGAAAAATTCTTTACCTCTAAAATTTTTAGACTTTGGAACTCTTTCCTTTTAGAACTCTTAATCTGAGGAATTTCTAAATTCCAGAACTCTTGACTTCTTGAACTCATAAACTTGGAAATTTCTAAATCCTACAACTTTTAGCTTCTAAAACTCTAAAATACTTAAATTCTTTAACTTTGGAACTCTTGACTATTCTGGAAATCTTAAACTCTGAAATTCTGAAACTCAAAAACTATTAGATTTTGAAACTCTTAAACTGTCAAACTGTAAAATTTTCCAATTTTTGAAACTTTTTAACGTGTGAAAATTTAAAACTATTGAACTCTTAAGCCATAGAAATTTGTAAACTCGAAATACAATAAATTCCAGTTGAAACGAGTAAATAAATGAGTGTGAATTTACAATCATGTTCTGTGTAAAATTCATGTATTACAAGTTGCAGAGAAAACTCAATAAAGCGCTACTGTTCTATATATGTATATTCTTTCGCAAATAACTGCTTTGACCACAGTTATTGAAAATCGTTGCTCAATTTTGTCACAATAAATATACCGAGAACAGAAAAAAAAGAATTCTTCGTTTAATTGACAATATTGATAAGAGAAAAGGATTCGTTATATATGTCTGTGGACCATATAAAGTCCACATAGAGTCTGAAAATAAAGATATAAAAAACATTTGTATATTTTGTTGATAAATAAAATTCCTAAACTCATAAACTTCTTTTTTGTTATTGTACTTGATAATAAAGTAAAAAAAAAATATTAAGAATAATAAATATTTTTAAAATAATTAAAATAGAATTCGTTTTTCTTAGGAAAACTCATATAAACTCTTAAGAGTTTTATTTATTTATTATTTCGAACACAGTTTTTCTAAAGATCGATTCTATAAATATCGAAATATTATGCTTCGCAACACTTTTGATTCGATCATGATTTTCGATTTTGCAACCGCAAAAACGAAACGACTTTTTTAGAAAATCTTAAATTACAAATTTTTAAATGCAGGCCTCGAATCGACTTTAAGACACAAAAAAAGTCGCTTCAGTTCATTAAAAATTTACAAAAAATGTCGAAAAAGTTGTTTATTTATTTCAGTGTTCCAACAAAAATATTATATCTTGTAATTATAATTATTGTCCATATTTTTTTTTAAGTTATTAAGGTATAATATTTTTAAAAAATTATAATATTACGAAACTCTTAAAATTAATTTTTTTTAAATATTTTCAAATCCATATACAATTAAAAAATTTCCAAACATAATATTGAACTTTGGTAAAATCTTTTAAAAATAATTGTAATAAAATCTTTTTAAAACAATTGAATTCTGGTAAAATCGTTTAAAAATAATTGTAATTTGACAAAATCTTTTAAAAATAATTGAATTTTTGAAAAATATACAATAAAGAATCAAATTTTTGAAAAATTTTAATTACAAATATAAACATAATTTTTCCGAAATTTTAATAAGGATCTAAAGAAGTAAATTTTAAAACATAATTTACTTTGTTCGTAGATATATAAATCTTAAAAAATTATGATAAAACAATTCGAAGAATTTGTTTTTGAAATATTCTAATGTAAGTTTTCAAAAAAAAATTGAATTTTTTAAAAGAATTTATGTATAATTTCAAAAAAAGTCCAAGTAATTTTTTCAAAAATTTAAATTAAAAATTTTTACAATGATTGTTTTCTCCAAACTGTTAAAAATAATTATAAAAAAATTTTAATGTTTGTATTATTTTTTGTACCTACGTATTTGAATTTTCGGAATTATATTTTTGAAAATATTGAAAATCATTGAATTTTAAAAATTTAGAATGAATGAAAATTGTAAGAATTACTTTTTTAAAAAAATTTTTTTATAAAATAATTTCTCGAAGCTAGTTTTTATTAATTTTCAATTTCATAAATTTACACTTGCAGATTTTTCATTTAATTTTTTTGAGAATAATTAAATTATTTTCACAAAATTTGCAATTAAATTTCTTTAAAAGTTGATTTTCAAAAATTTTAATAATAATACTTGAAAAGAAATCAATTATTTTCAATTCAATTTTACTAAATTTCAATTATTTAAAATCTTGTTAATTGCGTATATATATTTCAAAAATTTAAATAGAAAAATAATTCAAAAATAATTTTTGAAAGATTTGTTTATTTATTTTTCGCACTATAAAAAATTGAAATGATAGCGTTACATAATTTAATACTAAAAAATATGATACTTTGTTGCAATATTCGAAAGATAAAAGTCGAGGAAATCGCAATTTTTTAAAGTCGAAAAAAATCTCAATTTTCTTAATTTTCCTGACAAACAATTTTTTTTCTTGACATTTCCCTTACTTTACTGACAAAAATTTTGTTTTACTGACATTTCCCTGACTTTACTGGCGACCCTGGAAATTGACTCATAAATCGAAATAAATTTTTTTGCTCGTTTCGTCTAAATTCTATATTAAAACTCTCAAACTGCATCTTTTGCAGATGCTACAAAAAACTTTTATTGTCAAAAATTTTCGATTTAGTACAATTTGAAACGAAACTTTATTTTTATTCCAATGATCTTATAGTTTATAATTGTTAAGAATCTTGTCGCATAATCAAAGAGGAACTCATAAATTAAAATCCACTTTTCAGTATGTTAATTTTCCGACTTTTTTCAAAAATCTTAAATTACATATTTTGCAAATGGTATAAACTTTTCTTGGAAGAATATTTGGATTTAGGAATCGATGATCATTCAAAAAAGAGGGAATAAACTTCTTGTTCGAATGATCATCTATGCTAATTAATCCCAATCTTGTAGAAATAAAAAAGGATTAGATTTAAATCTACTTTTCTGTGCAGCATATTAAAAATCTTTGGGAAGCTTTTCCAAAAGTTGCAAAAATCTGCTATCTAAAGTAAAATTACTAAAAATTACTGAAAAAAATTACTATACTATACAAATAAATCTGAAGTAAAACCCCATTTTTCGTACGGTTGTGATTTGGTTATATGAACTTCGTATTAGGTTTTTATTTTACATAGCAGAAATGTAAGGTTTTAATGTTTTTGCATTAAGATGATGATGAAGAAGAAAGGTCTTTGCCTGTCTATTTATAGAGATCATAACATGCAAATCATCATCATCATCATCAATCTTGCATTGATCATAACAGAACTCAAAGATTAAAATCAAGTTCGGAAGTTGCATATGGTTCTTCTGTCAAATAAAAATCCAAATGTTTTGGAAATTGATGACACATGATGCATCACACAAGGTGGGAATGAAAGTAATGATGAAGAAAGAGAGAGAGAGAGAGAGAAGTGAAGAAACTCTCTATGAAAGGAAGTAATCCGACGGCATGCTGTGTATCATAAGAGTGTTGGTTTCGGAACACGTGCGCGATCCACGGTAGCGTCGCGTGGTTCATGCAGCACCAGGCAATAGGGTACGAAGAAGGCAAAACACAACGAAGGTGGAGGCAGAAGGAACACGGGCTTTGGCACAAGCCACCTTTCCAAGCAACCCTTCGCGAGGAAGCAGTACCTAAGCCTTGGGTTAGGGGTGAAGGCGGCCAGCCGCGGAGGCCACAACACGACCACCGTCCTCATTGGTCGGCGCGTCGTGTCTGGGTGGGGCTCCGGAAAAATTGGAGGGGAGAAAAATCCCCTCTAAATAGCTGTGGCTCCAGCCACGAAAAACTAGAATCCGCTCAGCCGGCATCGAGAGCGTGTATCGGTTCACATTTTTGTCTTCCCCTTTTGCCTTCTCTCAAGTTACTTCCAACTTTTCAAAAAAAAGAATTTCCACAAAATTAGCAAACATTTCTTTGCTAAATTTTTCTTTTTTTTTGATTTCCTTTTTTTTTCGAAAAAATTGTTCTTTTTGAAAAAAAGAAAATCGGAATGTGTTATTAGTGATAGTGAAATTGATTCTTGAGAACAAAAAAACAAGTGTTTACTGGATTTACAGTTTATTTTGATTGAATCGTGAACTTTTGGTGATTTTATTTGTGCAAATTCGCGCCATAGGATGCATTTACCGGAAGGACCAATCGGGATGGAGAGCTTCAGCGCCATCCACGATGCACTTAGAGCTTGCCATGGTGATTTAGTGCAGACCGGAAGTCCCGCAATTCTCTGCAGCGTTTTGCCCACCCATTGGAGGTCTAATAAGTCTTTGCCAGTGGCCTTCAAGGTCGTTGCACTTGATGAGGTCACCGACGGTACCATCGTCACTATTCGTGCTGGAAATGATGAAAATTGCTGCGGCGAACTTAGAAATTGCACGGCAGTCATGAAAAATCAAGTTGCAAAATTTAACGATCTTCGATTTGTCGGCCGCAGTGGAAGAGGTGTGTGTCATCAATTTTCCTCAAAAATCATCAATTCTTTCATCTTAAAGACTTTAAAATCAATAGAAATTGTTTTAAATTAATATTTTCAACTGCTTTAACTTACTTACTTAATTAAACTAAACAATTGGCGAAAATAAACAAAAAATGGACAAAAGTAGAAACTTGTACCTACTAAATAAACAAAGTAGGCAAAAGTGCCTATTTTCGCCCGTTTGCTTACGTTTCGCCTAATTTTATCAAAAATTCGGTCTATTTTTTGTCCGAAAATTTTTTTCTCAAGTGAGATTAAATTTTCCAAAAAGTAATGAGTAGTACAAGGAATTTATGAGTCACATGTTGCGAAAAGAAATTCTTTCTTGGAAAATTACAAGAATGATGATGGAATTTGGTTGCATTTTTTTTCTCTCTCCTCGAAGAGTGTGTCTAACAAAGATTCGTTTGCTTTGCTTTCAGGAAAATCGTTTTCCCTCACAATACAAATCAGCACGGTGCCTTTCCAAGTGGCAACGTACACGAAAGCCATCAAAGTCACTGTCGATGGACCAAGGGAACCACGCTCCAAGTCAAGTAAGTTGATGATCCATTTTTCAAAAATTTGCCCTCGAAAACCTTTTTTTTTTCTTTAAAGTCTTCATTAGGGGTCATTTTCCCTTAATTTTACATTTTTACCCCGAAATTGTATTTATTAACCCAAATGGACCGTATTTGACCCGAAATTAACATATTTTTGTACAATTCGACATAAATGTTAAAAATTTTAACGTTTGGTACAAAAACTCATAGGGATACAGTCTTTGGAATATAATTGAACTTAAAATTGAAATTAAAATTAAAATCGAAGTTAAAATCGAAACCGAAATTGAATTTGAAGCTAAAATTGAACTTAAAATTGAAATTGAAACCAAAATTGAAGCTAGAATTGAATTTGAAACGAAAATTGAAATTGAAACCAAAATTGAAGTTAGAATTAAAATCGAAGCTAGAGTCGAGATTAAAATTAAAAATAGTTACTAAAAATTTTTTTTGAGAGTGGAAAAAAGAGCTTTAAAATCTTGCAAGAAACGGCGAAATTGGAAACTGTGTGACCACCCGAGAATCCGCAAACGGGTGTTGGAAGCTTCACGACGTTTAATAATCCGGTATATAGCTGGCGGACCTCAAACCGCCAGCCGCGGTGGTCAGAGGTTGGTGTTCACAAACGCTGCTGTCTCTCCTCAACTCATGAGCTTTCTCTCCTTTATTTACACACACGTTCGCTCACATATATATCCCCTTGATCATGATTAACTGCAAATTCAACAAATCACTTTTTTCCGAAACGAATATTTACATTTCTGATTACTTCATTCTTCTCCTCTTGGTATTTATTAACACTCCCACTATTTATTATTTTTAAAAAATAATTTATTATTATTTCATTTTTCTTCTCCATTTTTTATTATACAAAAATTATTTATTATTATTACTTCATTTTTCTTCTCTATTTGTTTTTACTCCCACTACTAGTTCATTTTTCTTTTCTAGTTTTGTTATTACTTTTATTGTTTATTATATTTTTGCCTATTTATACCGAAATAAAAAAGAGTAGAGAAAAATAGAAATTTGACCATTTTTTCCCATTTGTACTGTATATTAAAAATACCCATTTTTGCCCATTTGTACTAGAACTGATAAAAAAATAATTTAATAAAAATGGGAATAAAAATTTTGTTTATAAAATTTCACACCTCCGGTTGGTTATTACACAATAAAAAAAGGGGAACACTTGGCAGAGTTTCAGAGGCACTCATTAAACGAGGCGGTATCTTTTTAAGTTTGTGAATTATTTTCCTAAGCACGCTTTCCAATTGGTCGATTGAACACTAAAAATTGTGTTTATTGGTTAGTAACACGCTCTCGCGAGAGTATGAGTTCGCGCAAAAGACGCCGCCGCGTTTAAATGCGTTTGTTTATCACGCCACATATGGCGGTAGCATGTGTGCACCTCGCAGTCTTTCTTCAGTCGTATAATCTTGAAACGAGAAAAAAAGGAACGTAAACTTTTTGAATTTGAGATGAGAGACGAAAAACTATTCTTTACACGATGATGAGTTTCATTTACATCCAACAAACATTTGTATTTATTATAATTTTCCTTCTTCCGGATTGAAGCTTTTAATAATTTTTTTAGTAAGGTTAAGATTAGCAGTAGTCGCGATGAGTGTCTATTAATATAGGACATAGTAGAAAATATCGAATACACTCAACCGCGCGTCAGTGTCGGTAGTAAAACCGCAATAAATCTAATTTCGTCTTCGAAGATCTTTATTATATTAAAGTAGTCTCTTCATTTTATTTTACAGACTATCAATATGGACCCGGATTTCCAGGACTTGGACTCTTGAATCCATGGTTGGACGCTGCCTATCTTGGTCACGCCTGGCACCTGCCTCATCCAGCCCTCGTCAAAGGTAAGCATTTCGAAAAAAACTCCCCCTAATCCTAGAGTCCCAAAAGTCTCATATTGATTCGAAAGCCTTCGATGATGATTCATGCACTGGACCGAGGGTGAATTCTCATCTCTCCCCTAGCAGCCTATCCTTTCTTCTAGAACAACAATGCGACTTAACCTTCCTCCCCAAAACTAATTTTTCCCTTCCTCTGCTAAAACTATAGCAAAAAACCGAACTAATGAAAACTAAAAACAAAAACACAATCAAAAACGTAAGTTTTTGATTGGGTTTTTGTTTTTAGTTTTCGTTCTAAAACACAAACAGAAACAGAACCAAAAACAACACTGAAGAAAGAAAGGAAGAAACTAAATGTAATTTTTCTCTTTCCAGGAACGATACCAATGCCCCATACGGACATATTCGCACCAAGCTTCACATCAACAGTGATGCCAACCTATCCATTTGTGGACCCAGTTAAGTACGAGTACCCACAGATGCCACCGAAGACGACAACATTAATGCTGCCAAACAGTCCATCGAGAACACCGCCAAGAAGTCCAAGTGACAGTGGAAGTGAATCGGCAGCCGAGGAAGTGCGAAGTGCCTTCGTGCCAATTAGGCTCAACACCCTACCACCAGTGACGCCACTGACGCCGTCGTCATCGTCACCCGAAAGAACTTTACCAAAAAAACCCGAAGGCACGAGAAACGATCTTAAAGCACCAATTGCCCTCATCAGTCATCGACTAAATAAAAGAAGTTCATCGCCAACAAAAATCACATCATCATCACCACAAGCACCAAAACCAGTCTGGAGGCCCTACTAGGAGTCGATAAATTTTCCCCAGGATCCAGGATGAACTGAACGATTTCGAAAAAAATAGAAAACACAAGGCTAGTGATATATTATAAAAAGTTATGAAACAACGCCTGGCGTTGTTGGTCCCACTGTTTAATCTTTTCGACTATCATTGTTTTCCCCACTGTATTGAATTACAACCAGTTGTCATCAAATATATGGATCTAATACATAATCGAAAATTAATCCAAATTTTTGGCAGCAAATTCAAGTTGATTCGATCCATTTTAGTATCAATTTGATTCATCAAAAATTTGACCCAATTTCATCTACTTTAGTATCAATTTATGATCCATTTTGATCCAAATTTTTGGCAGCTTTGAAACAATTTGCTGATAATTTCATCCACTTTGGTAATCAATTTGATTCAGCAAAACTTGATCCAAATTTTCCTCAGCAAATTCGACCCAATTTGATCTTTAGTATCTCTTTAGTATCAATTTGATTCATCAAAAATTGATCCAAATTTTTGGCAGTAAATTTAAGCAAAAGCCAATTTCATCAACTTTAGTATCAGTTTGATACGAAAAAGAAATTGTTATTTCAAGAAAACAGTGTCAAGAAGAAGTAAATATTAAATATGAAAATTGAAATTAAAGAAAGAAAAAAATTAGATTTCGAAGTGAAGTCTTTTGTTTAAACAGTGATTATCTTCGGTTTTACGAAGAATGGTGATGATAAATTTTTGTGATGAATTGACATTTTTTGGTATAGAATATAGTGTATTGTAAATATTTGTAAATAAATTCGTGGACAATAAGATATATTATATATATATATGTGTAAATAAGAGAAAAAAATAAAAGCGTATACGTGAGAGAGAGAGAGTAAAACTGGGAAGAGAGAGTGCAAACAGAGATTATTGTAATTAGCGTCCATATAAGTCAGAGATTTAATTTAATGTAAAGAGAATATAAATAGAGATGGGAGAAAATAAATATATGTCAAACAAATGAACCTCAATTTTTTCATTCTAAAAAAACCTTTTAATTTTTTTATTCTTTCAGCAATTTTAAGAGTTTTTGAAAACAATTGGGATTTTAAAAAAAAATAAGTTGAGAAAAAATCGATTTAGGATCAATATCGAAAAAAATTTGGAAGCTTTTAATTTTTGGGTAAATGATGGAAAACTTTTAGAGAAAAATTGTTGTTGAGTTTTAGTCGAGTTGAGACTTAATATATTGAAATAAAGAGAGAAATATTTTAATTCAAGAAAATAAGTTGGTTTCGAAATGAAATCTTGCTCTTATTATATAAATAATACGAAGGGGGACACAGAGGCGATGAAAGAGATTGAAACAGCGTTTCGTGCCACTGCAAGTAGGGGATTCATATTTTTTTTTTTTTTTTTTTTTTGTCGCGATTTAAATCTGAATGGCTGCATGCCACAGTCGTTTGAGCTTCTAGCGTCTATGTGTTTCTTCCCATACAAGGGGAACACAGTGAACAGAATGGTTTATATATCGGAAGAGAATGCGTGAGATCTGTATTAGTACCTATAGAGAATATATCTTTGCCACTGGTTCTCAACTCTCAAGTCACGATTCTTTGTGGGATTCTTTATCGAACATCAAACGCATCTCGAATTAATGGGGGTAAAAACGGGTCAAACAGAAACAAAAAAGAAAAAATAAAATCACAAGTAAAAGAAGATTTTATTATCAAAGGTTTATTTCATAATTATACTCTTGTTGCATTGCTTTCTTTTTTTCTACTTTGATCTTATTTGTCTTTCTATTACTTTCAATATTTTCTTATTTTTTAATCTTTTTAACTTATTCTTTAAACGGGAGAAATAAAGGCAAAAAAGGAAAAAAATCTTTAATCTTTTTATTTTTTCTTCAAACAAGAGAAAAAGGGCGAAAAAAGAAGAAAAATGTTTAATCTTTTAACTTTTTCTTTAAAAAAGAGAAAAAAGGCAGAAAAAGAAAATAAATAATAATAAAGAAAAAGAAGGAAAAGTAAAGTAAATAATAAAAAAAAGAAAGAAAAATAAAGTAAATAATAAGAAATAGAAAAAAAGTAAAGTAAATAATAAAGAAAACGAAGGAAAAATAAAGTAAATAATAAGAAAGAGAAAAAAAGTAAAGTAAATAATAAAGAAAAAGAAGGAAAAATAAATTAAATACATAATAAGAAATAGAAAATAAAAAAAATAAAGTAATAACAAAAAAAAAAATAGTTATTGAAACAATAAACATTAAATTAAAAATATTTTTTTTTAAATTCATGCACTGAATTTTTATTCGTTACGCAAAAAAAAGGGTTATTTCGCAATGGAAAAAATTTTTTTCCAGCGAACAGTTGGATTTATTGGATGAGACAAAGAAATGAGAACCGCATTGACACCCAGCTTTAGGGGTTTTTCGTTGACAAGTAGACAACGGAGCCAAGCAACCGTGAAGGGTCGCCACATGACCCAAACCGATCCTAGCCAATCCACGTTTGCACCACTCAAACGCTAACTAATGTTTGCCCAAAGAATCGCAAACGTATAATTGAGTCATAGTTGCGCTTGATAAAAAAAAAAAAAAATCAGTCCTGCCATTCTGTATATATGTCGAATATTCGACTTTTTCACCCAGTAGAAAATACACCTAAAAATGCTAGTTGTAAAAAAAAATATTCACCAATTTGCAAAAAAAATTAACAATTTTTACCTACCAGTTTTCATGATATTTTTCTTTAATGAATTTTTAATATTATTTTAATTTAATAAAAGATATTTTATTTATTTACTTAAGAAATATTTATTAGTTCACTTTATTCAAGATTTATTTTTAGAAAATTATTTTTCTTCTCGAAAAAATAATTGAAAATGTAAATAATATTACAATAAAAAAATATAATATTTTAATAATGTCCAATATGTAAACGTATTTGCAAGAGAAGAATATATTGTAAATTAATAAAAATTTGCAATAATTAAAATTCACGTGTGCTTTGTTGAAAATGGAAAGAATTCCTCTTTATTTTTGGTGAATCTATATATTATTTATGTAAACTGTCTCTAATAAATTGTTTACGCATAGGAAGTAAAAATCGATTTATCGAATATGTTAAAATTAGTTTAGTAAATTGGGAAATACTGAAAATTGTAATCAAGTTATATAAAACGAGGGAAAATTTTATTTACAAAAATGATATAATAATGAATCATTGTTTATGTATGTAACTTTGTATTTTATGAAATTGTAAAGTAATTAAAAATATTCTGATTATACTTTTTACTGTTTTCATTTTTTTTAATTATTTAAATATTTATTAATTAATTTCAACTACGTGTTTCATTTTTAATTAATTTTAACTACGTGTTTTATTATTAACTAATTAATTTTTTAACTTACGTATTTAATTATTAATTAATTAATTTTTAGTATTTAATTATTAGTTAATTAAATTTTAGTATTTAATTATTAGTTAATTAATTTTAATTACGTATTTAATTATTAAATAATTTTTATTAGGAGTTCAATTATTATTAAGTAACTTGCAACAATTCGCGCGCTAAAGCACGCGGCTAACTTTTTAGAATAAAATTAGCAATTTTAGAAATATTAGAAAATTTGAAAATTTATAATTCAAATTTTTGTATCGGCTCAATGTATCGGGTACCCGAAGTTTTCGAGTACCCGAAACATTCGGGTACCCGAATTCACTCGAGCACTCGAATGAATTCGGGTACCCGAAATTTTCGAGTTCTCGATTTTATTCGAGCTATTAAATTTAAAAAAAAAATTTTTTATAAAAAAAAAAATTTAATTAAAAATTGATGTAGAAAATTTTGGATTTTCTTAAAGACTCGAATGCTACAAAAGAGAAGAGAAAATGTTGAATTTTAAGAAAATCGGATTTTTGAATTTTTTCGAATTTTTGATAATTTTAGATTTTTTACCAAAAATTCGAGACTATTGAATAAGTAAAGTATTTTCTAAGAGCACAAAAACAATGAAGCTAAATGCTACAAAAGAGAAGAAAAAATATTGAATTTTAAGAAAATCGGATTTTTGAATTTTTTCGAATTTTTGATAATTTTAGATTTTTTACCAAAAAATCGAGACTATTAAATAAGTAAAGTATTTTCCAAGAGCACAAAAATAATGAAGCTAAATGCTACAAAAGAGAAGGAAAAATATTGAATTTTAAGAAAATTGGATTTTTGAATTTTTTCGAATTTTTGATAATTTTAGATTTTTTACCAAAGAGTCGAGACAATTTAATATGTAAAGTATTTTCCAAAAGCACAAAAATAATGTAGCTAAATTCCATAAAAGAAAAGAATAAATGTTGAATTTTAAGAAAATCGGATTTTTGAATTTTTTCGAATTTTTGATAATTTTAGATTTTTTACCAAAAAGTAGAGAATATTGAACAAGTAAAATATTTTTCAAGAGCACAAAAATAATGAAGCTAAATACCACAAAAGAGAAGAGAAAATTTTGAAGTTTAAGAAATGTCGAATGTCGAATATTCGACATTCGAACAGGGCTAATTCGAATGTCGGATTTTCGATATTCGAACTAAGCTTATTAGCTCGAATGTCGAACTTTCGACATTTGAACTAGGCGAAAAAATTCGAACAGTTCGGTTCGAATTATTTTGCACTGCTCTAAATATTTCCTATTTTTTAATTATTATTTTTTATAAAAATTAACAATTTTCTATTTTTTATAAATAAAATGGAGAAAAATTTGCGTAATTAAGATCAGTCAAACGAAATTTTAAATTCTTCTTGACATTGAATTGTATGGAAATTTTGAAAAATAATTAAATTCTTTCCTGAAATTTTATTAAAATTTTGTTAAAAATAATTGAATTTTTGGAAAAAAGAACTTACTGTTTATAAAAATAATTTAATTCTTCTGAAGAATGTAATTATTTATATAAAAATAATTTAATTCTTGCGAAGAATTTTACGATTTATAAAAATAATAATTGAATTGTTTAGAAGGATTTATTAAAATTTTAGAAAATAATTGAATTCTTTCGTGAAATTTTAGTAAAATTTTTTTAAAAAAATAATTGAATTTTTGCAGAATGAAAGAATGAAATACGAATAAGATTATTATAATTAATTTATTTTCTTTATAATTTTTATGTAATTATACATTTTTAAACGCACTTTTGGTATTAAATTAGAGGTTATATCTTTTATTTCAATATATTCGGTTTCTTCCGGACGATGTTCGGTTAATTCCGCCTCGAAATTCGTAGAAACTGGTTTAAAGAGTGGGGGAAGAAAAGAGAGGTCGCGCTCTGTCTATTTCACTCGCGCGCATTCTGCACAATCTACGTTGAAAATTTCCTTCTACAACACTTATTTCGTTCTATTATAGTTATTTTTATATATTTTATATAATAATTGTACCAATTTTTTTTTTTTTACTTAATGATTGTTTCGTTTCTATTATTTTCCACTCTAACTTCGTTGCACTATTATCTGAACTTGTTGCTTTATTTATTTAATGAGATCAAGTTCTTAGGGTTTGGAGTCTAAACTGTCTAAGAACTAAATACAAGAAATTACAATTAAGTATAAATTAAGTCAGTAGAGATGCAGTGGGAAACGATAAAAAAAAATTATGAATTTTGAATAAAAAATTAAATTACAATAAAAATTAACATAATTAAATTAATAATTCACTATACACATGAAGAAATACAGAATTATTAAATACTCGATTGAAGATATATAATTTCATTTAAGAGAGTATAAAAATAAATGCGTTGAGTAGATCTCGCACCTCTCGAACATCGAGGCTCGTTACGGGAATGACCTGCCGAGCAGCGTTGGGTGATTCTCGTAGATCTTTGTACCAGATTCAGGATCACGAGGACGCTGTAGCGCGCACTGGTTTTGCGAGAGATTGAGGGTCCTAGAGTTAGGCAATCAGCGTTGATGAGGGGTGTTTACGGGGTGAGGGGCTCAGACAATTAGTAATCCTTCCTCCTC